CAGATTCCTGACAATGGTAATAATACCATTAGGAATACGAACCCTAAACCAGGCATGGTTGCTCATGCCTGTAATCCCAGCACTTTGGGAGGCTGAGGCAAGTGGATGGCTTGTGGCCAGGAGTTTGCAGTGAGCTATAATCATACCACTATGCTCCAGCCTGGGTGACAGTAAGACCCTATCTGTTTTTAAAAAAAAAGTATGAATCTAATTTTTTTTGAGATGGAGTGTCACTCTTGTTGCCCAGGCTGGAGCGTGATGGCGTCATCTCAAGTCACTGCGACCTCCGCCTCCCAGGTTCAAGTTATTTGCCTGCCTCAGCCTCTCAAGTAGCTAGAATTACAGGCACCTACCACCACACCTAATTTTTCTATTTTTAGTAGAGAGAGGTTTTCACCAGGTTGGCCAGGCTGCTCTCAAACTCCTGACCTCAGGTGATCCACCCGCCTCAGCTTCCCAAAGAGCCGGGATTACAGGTGTGAGCCACTGCACCCAGCCAAAAGTATGAATCTTAAATGTTAATAACTGTTTTAGCATTTTTCAATAACTGAACCAAGCAACTGCCATTGGGAAAGCCGATTCCTAGTCTGACAGAAATCCATCACAAAGCTGATCTTGCAGAGTAGGTGGTGTGAAGCACATGAACTCCAGGATTCAGATGTGGTTTAGGAGACCCACCTCTCTCAGCTCACACAGGTTAAGAGCTCTGACCATTTCCACTCTGTAAAATGAGAGTGCTAGACCAGCTCAAAGGCTTCCTTCCAGCCTCAGTATTCTGTGGTGACTGGACTGAATTTATTAGGTCAGCAGGAGACTTTCCACTCAGCATAAAGTGTCCTCTCTCTTTTCCCTTTCACTTACCAACATGTTTGTCTGGAAAGGATTCCTGAAAAGATGGAACCCTACCCCCACCCCCAAAGACAGTGGATTATGGGTTGGGAACTTTAAAGAGGACCTTTTAAAAATATATATTAATGTTTGGGTCTTGGGGTAGGCAAGAGATTAAACTAAAGAAAAAGAAGGCTGGGTACGGTGGCTCATGCCTATAATCCAAGCACTTTGGGAGGCAGAGGTGGGTGGATCATTTGAGGTCAGGAGTTCAAGATCAGCCTGGCCAACATGATGAAAACCCATCTCTACTAAAAATACAAAAACTTTTAGTATTTGGTGGCATGTGCATGTAATCCTAGCAACGTGGGAGGCTCAGCCAGGAGAACTACTTGAACCCGAGAGGTGGAGGTTGCAGTGAGGTGGGATCACACCGCTGCACTCCAGCCTAGGCGACAGACTAAGACTCTGTCTCAAAAAAAAAAAAAAAAAAGAATCTTGGGGATTGTTATTTCCCTATCAGTGCGTATGCTTCAAGTTGGCTTTATTGCCATTAAGTAGACAGTTGGGAGACAATTACAGAGTATGTGGAGGGCAAGATATTTTACTCCACGTTATTTCTCCTCCCAGAGGAAAAGTTGATTTTTTTCCCCTACTTCTCAGAGTGCTGCTATGAGCAGCAATCTTAGTCTTGAATCTCTGAACATGTTGTAAGCAAAGCTGAAAAGGTACTATGTTTAATGAATGTTGGTTCCTAAATAGGAGAGTTAAATTACCTGGTTCATTCTACGTCAATGGCTCTTTTCAAACTCCAACATGAGGTCTGGTGCAGCAACCAGAGACTGAGTCCTTGGCTGTGCTGTGGCTTTGGGAGTTGGAAGTCCCCATTCTACTTGCCCTCAGCAGCTCCTCCTCCTCAATACTGCAGAATGGTGTTTTCTAAAATAGCTCTAGGCTGGGTGCCGTGGCTCAAGCCTGTAATCCCAGTGCTTTGGAAGCCCCTATCTGGGAGAGGGGAAGATCACTTGAGCCCAGGAGTTTGAAACCAGCCTGGGTTACAGCAAGATTCAGATAGTGAAATGACTGAAAAGTTTGGTGCTTCTCAGAATTCTATAAAATATTTAGCATATTAACCTAAAATTAAAATATTTTAAATGGCATCCAATATAGTATACTAGAGTCTATTCTACAAAAGTAGCAGAATATAAGTGTGTTTTTTGTTTTCTGAGACAGGATCTCTCTTTGTTGCCCATGCTGGAGTGTAGTGGCGCCATCTGAGCTCACTGCAAACTCCGTCCCCTGGGCTGAAGTGATCCTCCCACCTCAGCCACCATGCCCAGATGCCCAGATGCCTGGCCAACAGTATTCTAATGCTACAGCATTATCACTAAAATTGTCTAAGGTTTTAAAGTTTTTTCCTATTAAAAAACAAACCAACAAACACTTTGGGAGACTGAGAAAGGTGGATCACTTGAGATCAGGAGTTCGAGACCAGCCTTGTCAACGTGGCAAAACTCCATCTCTACAAAAAATACTAAAATTACCCAGGTGTGGTGGCACGTGCCTGTGGTCCCTGCCATGGAGGCTGAGGTGGGAGGACCGCTTGAGCCTGGTGGAGGTTCCAGTGAGTCGAGATTGCGCCAGTGCACTCCAGTCTGGACGACAGAGTGAGACCCTGCCTCAAGAAAATTCACAAATAAACAAAAAGACCATCAATCTATGGGAGCAGAGCTGAAAAAACAACATGCTATAGAATTAGGCTGTGTCTGCTGCTATACACGTTCACAGGGCTGTAACAATACTTACCAAGATTCAAAATACAGCTTACAACTCTTAATTCAAAGCCTTTTATAGAATTAGTCTCCCTCATCCCAAGATTTCATTACAATGGAAATGCAAAAGTGGGGCAGCCTGCACATGGCCTACACTGATGAAGCAAATGCTCAGATGTTATTTGACAAAAATGATCAATAAGTCTGAGCAAAAAGTAAGCTGCTATAACAAGAAACCAAACAAAAATGTGGCTTAAAAATTAAAAACATTTAATCTGCTCTCACATAACAGTTCAATATTCCATGTAGTCATGCAGGGATACAGGTTCCCTCCATCTTGTGACTCAAAAAAAGAAAAATCAAGGCTACATTGCTATTGCTACTACTTTTGGGAAGGGATAAAAGAGCATGGAGGAGGTACCATCACTGTCCTCAGGTTCCTAACCTGAAATTAGCAGCATTTCCACTCAAATTTCATAGGACTTAATTGCTTCATACACCTAAAACTACAAGGAAAACAGCAAATATAGTCCCAGTTAAGCAGGCATGTTATTCAATGTCAACCCCAATTACCATGGAAAAAATGAGAGAATAGATTGTGGTAACTACCTCAGCTACTGGTCCACCCCTACCCCCACCCCCCCAGCTTTTTTCCACTGAATTGGGTAACATCAGTGCTCTCAAGAGAACTGGCAGGAAGGAGGTGACAAATGCACTATGCATAACCCACAAGCCTTGACCTGGTAAGCAGAGAGTGGCCATTACTCTCAGGAACTCTACAAGCCAGACTGAGCAGTGTTACAGCTATAAAGCCACCTGGGTGGTTGGCTGCCAGTAGCTCTGAACATTGTCTAGAATGAATACTTCAGAGATGATCAGATCACCATCTCCAAAACCGTTGCCAAAGAACTGTCAGAGACTTCCCTGGAGTTCAAGATTCATTACAGGAAACTCTGAAATGAAGCTGAAACCAGTGTATATTTTGGCAGTAGAGCAGAGTCCTTCCTTAAGGAGATCTGGCCTCCCCTTCAGGAGGTTCTAGATCTGTGAAGTTGCTAAGGGCTATGAGAAATCCACGTTTTTGGCAAGAATACTACATAGGTAATGTTTCCAAATTCCATTCTTAAGTAGGAGAGAGGGTAAAGATATAAGCATTCAATATCCTTCCCACTCAGCTCTCAACTTACCTTTTCCCACCTTCATCCCCTGTCATCTTCAGCACACAGCTTCAGGACACAGGACACATTTCCCTCCTCCTGGACCTCTAATAAATGATTCCCCTCTCTGCCTGAATAAGTCATATTCCTCAAAGACCCAGGGGTCAAATATAATTTCCTTTGTGAAGCCACCTTTAAGTTAACAAATATGAGTACCTACTATGTTCCAAACTATGTGAAGAACTGGGGTGCCTATATATACCAAGGTTTTCCTATGCATATACACCTATGGTAAAGATTAATTTATAAATTAGGCAAATTAAGAGATTAAGAATAAAATAGAACAATTATAAGAATATAATGTAATGAAAGTTACATGACTGTAGTCCATTTCTTATTGTACTGTACCCTTCCTCTGATGATGGGATGTGAGATGGTAAAATGCCTGCATGGTGAAATGAAGTGAGATAGGTGACGCAGGCATTGTGAGACACCATGAGGCTACTACTGACATTCCTTTTTTTAGATAGGGTCTGGCTCTATCACCCAAGCTGGAATGCAGTCTTGACTCACTGCCACCTCCACCTCCCAGCTTCAAGTGATTCTCATGCCTCAGCAGCCCGAGTAGCTGGGATTACAGGCGCCTGCCACCATGCCCGGCTAATTTTTGTATTTTTAGTAAAGACAGGGTTTCACCATGTTGGCCAGGCTGGTCTCAAACTCCTGACCTCAAGTGATCCACCCACATTGGCCTCCCAAAGTGCTGGGATAACAGGCATGAGCACCACTACTGACCTTCTGACGATACATCAGAAGGAGGGTCATCTGCTTTGGGTGATCCTGGATCATGGAGCCATGACATGGTCAATGGTTGGATGTTAAGAGTAGATGGTGTAGATGACTAACAGGCAGGTAGTGTGTACAGTGTGGATATATTAGAGAAAGGGATGACTGATGTGACCGGTGGGACAAAGCGTGGTACTGCAAGATTTCATTCAGAATGGCACACAATTGAAAACTTATGAGTTGTTTCTGAAATTTTCCATCTAATATTTTTGGACCATGGTAGCCATGGATTACTTATACCATGAAATGCAAAACCATAGATAATGGGGCACTACTGCAGTTTCTCAATTCTCAAACTTCCTCTATCCTGCTGCTAAGAAGTAATCTTGCAGTAGAGAGTAATAAAGCCCACATTTTAGCAAAATACTTTAAGCCTGTTAAAAGACAATCTAATTACTTAAATATGGTTGCTTTATTTTGCACTTTTAAAATTAATGAAAAGCTTTACAATAGCTGCATTCTACCTGCTGATCACCAAGGCTTTATGGTAAGGCAATGAAAATTTTATCACATCAACTGGGCATATGCAAAAACAACAGGTAATTTACAAACAAATCTTTTTAATCAAGAACATTATGTAAAATTCACATTCTGGTCAACATCTGAATTCATCTAGACTTTAAGAGTCTTAAAAAAAAAACAACAGATTTTAACACTAACAATCCTAACAGAATAATGCTGATGGCAAGCCATAAACAGCTTTAAATGCTGAATGTAATTTGGGGAAAGGGGAGAAAAAGAAATTATCCGTTGAACCTAAAAATACAACTGTTAGTAAGTCTTCTCTAATGAATTTCAACAAAGTGAACAACTCCTATACCTTTGGTAGTTCCTCAAGTTTTGTTTTTAAACTTGTGACATCTTGACTAAAGGATCTGAACCCTAGGCCTAGAATACTTAAGGAAAAACCCCAGGGAAGCGGGGAGAAGGAAAAACTAGAACTTTCTTAGTCTAGCTAAGGTGGGTAACTGCTGAGTCTGCCCTGCAGACTCTGGCCAAGTGATGAATGAAAGAAATACTCAGACACAGGCAGGCTGTGAAACAAAGCTAGGGGACCGCCAGCTTTGTGTTGCCAAAGAGAGACAGTCCTGATAAGCCAGAGCTGCTTGTATTTATGCAGTACGGATTTAATGACAAAGGCCTGGAGCAAACACAATTTGTGGGTAATTAACGTTGTTGTTCCCCACCTTTCAGGGAGCAGTCTTGCACAGGCACAGATTATCAAGTGTTGCGTTCTGGAGACAGAAACAAACTTATCTAGATAAATTCCTGTACACTCCCTTGTTACCTACCCCTTGCCCTTAGCCTCGGGGTAAGAGACTCAGCTGCCTTCAGCTTTTATTCTCTCCTGAAGCTTTTGCAAAACCTTCCAACCTTCCAGGGTTTGTGTTCTGTTCTGGTAATTTCTCCCACCACCCTGACCCCTCTCCTACATACATCTCCCCCTTTTCTGTTTTTTTTTTTTTCATTAGGCTTTGTTGATTGAAGAGTACAGATGTGTGCAGTAACAGGTTTGTCAGGCGAAGTAGTCATTGCTCATTTTTCGGCTTTGCATCCTAGAATTAGCAAATAACATGAGACAAATGTGAGTATAATCAGTAATATTTTTTCCTAATTAAGGAATGACCCCCCCAGGAGTGGGGGGCGTCTATCTAGGAGAGATGTTCTTCTGCATCCCTCCATATATGGCTGTATGTTGAGCATGTAGATTTATGGCATTTAGGGATTCTAGAATTTTAGTTTTAAGTTGCTTTACATCTGTGGTTAAATTATCATATAAGATTCCCCAGAGGTGGTGTTTCATCTCATCCTAACTATGTATTGATTGATTCCAGGGTAGAAAGGTGACATAGATATGCTTATGCTCCCAGTCACAGTTTAATTGCTGTTGGAGTGCCAGCGCATCGTGTCATTCCCCTACATATTCCAAGGCAGCATCAAGGGCTTGCAGATGTGCAATAATTTTTTGATCTATACCCTGCTGTAAGAGAAGTTCATTAGATACATTTCTGGCCAAGTTATCTACACCGGTAGCTGTTTGTACTGATTCAGTAATAAATCCAACAGTGACACTAGTAGTGGCTACGATGACTATGGCTGAGCCTATAAAGGCTAGTGTACCTATGAATCTTTGGTGTCTGACGTGGCATGACAAGGCATGTTCTAGGGAGGCAAGAGCAGAGAAACCTTGCCAATCTCACCTCAAACTGACTGGCAGAAATGTCTCAGACTGTCTCCATAATACCATGACACTAGTAACACTTAAAACTAGATATACGGTAATTAGTAATACATGGGGCGAACCAGGCTTGTCCCTGCACTTGGGTCACAAACATGGAGTTTTGAGGTGTAATGGAAATACTGGTTCCCATAAGGAAAACACATGGATGGGCAGTGCAAATCAGGCACTGATCTGAGTGATTATGAATAAAAGGCATAGTATAATTGTTACTGGAATTATGATATATCCCATGCCAGGTGATAAGAGTGGTGCTTAGATGTCCCAGGTGCCATGAAGTGTCTTGGGGTGGCATGGACTCTACTTGGGGTCTGGGATATCCCATCCCCTCATCCACCCATCATAGTGAAGCAGGACATGGCTATGAACCTATAATTGGGGCTGGGCGCGGTGGCTCACGCCTGTAATCCCAGCACTTTGGGAGGCCAAGGCGGGTGGATCACAAGGTCAAGAGATCGAGACCATCCTGGTCAACATGGTGAAACCCCGTCTCTACTAAAAATACAAAAAATTAGCTTGGCATGGTGGCGCATGCCTGTAATCCCAGCTACTCAGGAGGCTGAGGCAGGAGAATTGCCTGAACCCAGGAGACAGAGGTTGCGGTGAGCCAAGATCATGCCATTGCACTCCAGCCTGGGTAACAAGAGCGAAACTCCACCTCAAAAAAAAAAAAAGAAACTGTAATTGATGCCACAATGGACACAAACATCAGTATGGTTGCCCATACTGATGGCAACAGCCATGAGGGCTCCAGTCTATGATGTCATGATTGCCTAACTGGAGGCTACAGGCTTGTCCCCTATGACAGACCTCTCAGCCAAAGTGGAATCCACTTTGGGTTTGTTCTTTGGGGAAGGTGGCATTAGTTGCGTTGCCCAGTTTGAGGCTACCTACAACCAAGAACGTTAAGGCATTTCCTTTGCCATGATGTAGCAATAATTGTGTTTGGGCAGGTACACAGTCAGAGTTAGAACTTTTATAACTTACACACAATGGAAGGAGAGTGGAGTGATATATAGTGTTACCTGGCACCTTAGTCCAATGTGCGTCATTAATGAGGAACCCTACCCGGGGTAAGTCAATCCCTCCTAGCCAAGCAGTTACATTATTAGAGGCTGGGAAGGGAGTGTCTGCCCAGGTAACAGGGTGGAAGAAAGGCCGATCTAGGCGATGAGCCCAATAGAGTGTAGCAGGTACGGGTTGAAGGCAAAGTGAGAGAATAAGAAAGGTTAATACCTTACAGGAGTTGCAATGTATAACAGAAAGCATAGCAAGGAATAAATTATCTGGAGTGCATGGTGTCTGTGTCCGGAGCAGGATTTGTTCAGCCTCCTGAGTCGTCTTCTTCAGCACCCCCCAGGTGATAGATGGGGCTTGTGCCGTCCGGCGAAGCCGCAACCTCTGGGACTGTAGGTTCTTTGGGGTCACTTCCTTCACTTCTGGTACTGGGTTGGGTTCTGGCTGCACCGTGGTAATGTTTGATGCATTGTGCTGGAATCCAAAGAGGGCCTGAGGGGGTTTGAACACAGCATATCCTCTTCCACATGTTAGCAAATCATTTGGACCACACCATACATTACTATTTACATCTTTCCATAAAACCGTGGGTTTTATGTATTGAGAGGTTTTAGCAAAGTGCTTTTCTATGGGTGATAGAAACGCACACATATACATATTTTAGTTTTCCAAATTCAGAGACATGTGTAACATCAGTTTGCCACAACTGATTAGGTTCTAGTCCTCTAGGGTTAACACCTGTAGAGACAGGAACATGCCCGTGAGTTGGCAATCTGGGCACTGCAGGATAACTTGTTTAGCTAGTCTCTGGGTAGGCTGAAATTGTTCAGTTTCTCCAATACTGGTGGAAAAATTGATGTGATTGGGTGGTTTGTTTAAGCAAGCATGTTAAAATTTGCAGGTTTGCTTGATTATTGCTATAAGCCAGTGGGCCAGGCAGTGAGCTGTGGGCTCAAATATGTATGATAAAAATAGGATGTGTACGTTGATCCTGCAATTGCTGGAGTTGAAGAAAAAGTGCACACACGGTGAGCTCAAGAGCGGACTTAATGAGGGCTCTTTTAAGGTTCTGCAATAAATAAATAGAGTAAGCAGAGTAACTAACAATATTGATGGGCTGAGCTGAAAAGGTTTCCAGGGCAAATATTAGGGCTCCAACCTCAGCTCTCTAAGTGCTAGCAAATCCAGAATCAGTGAGAGAATAATGTGGTTCCCACCAAATAGCCCCTTTCCATTTTTACCAGAGCCTTCAGTAAAAAGTGTTATAGTATTAGGTATGGGGGAGTGAACTACCTTTGTGGGCACAACTACAGGAGTACAAGATAAGAACTGGAGTAGTATGTCAGCAGGAAAGGCATGTCCTATATGGCCTGCATAATCAGAGGTGCTATCTGAAAGTCTAGAGATAAGGACAGTACTGCTTCGAATTGTTTTTTACTCAAAAGAATTCTTATGACATCAGGGTCATTACCTAGCAACTAATTGCATTGTCTGCAGCCCATATAGATGACTTTACTCACTAGCTAGATATAGGGAGATAGTGTTTTAGTCCTGGTATGTGAGCAAAAAACCAATTCTAGGAAACGCAGCCCTGGGGTCATCTGTCCTATTAATCCTGTTGGGGAATGTTTAATATTGAGGGTCTATACATTCTAGTTGCCTCTGAGAAATAGCTTACTCTATTTCCTCAATTTCCCTCTTTGCTGTGGGAGTTAAATACCTTGGAGAGTCCAGAGCTGTACTGCCTTTAGGATCGAAAACAGGTTCTGTAATTTGTCAGTAGTCATGACCAAGGTGGGCAAAGCCAATTAATATTGCCCAGTAATTTTTGATAATCATTAAGGTGTGTAAGTTGCTAGTATTTAATTTAACCTTTGGCAGTCTTATTGACCAGGAGGTTAGTATGTAGCCAAGATATTTCCAAGGGGAAGACATCTGTATTTTTTCAGGTGCTATGATTAAACCTCTTAACCATGTATTTTTTATGACAGGCATATAAACTTAAATGCACTGGCTCTGTTGGGGCTGCTAGTAAAATATCATTCATAAAATGAATACTCTTGTAATTAGGAAATTCTTTTCTTCTGAGGAGCAAAGCCTGATTTACATGATAGTGACACATGGTAGGACTGTTTAGCATTCCTTGAGGAAGTACTTTCCAATGAAATTGGCAAGCTGGCCTTTCATTACTGATAGCTGGTATCATAAACACAAATTTTTCTCTGTCCTGTTCTGCAAGAGGAATAGTATAAAAGCACTCTTCAAAGTCAAAAACAACTATAGGCAAATCTCAAGGAATCACCGTGGGGGAAGGGAGCCCCTGTTGAAGGGGCCCCATAGGTTGCAAATTAGCACTGATAACCCGTAAGTCATGCAAAAGTCTCCATTTACCAGACCTTTTGGGAATGACGAAAATGGGAGAATTTCAAAGGCTGTCTGATGGTTCTATATGGCCAGCTTTTAATTGTTCCTACACTAATTCATGGGCTTGTCGTAATTTCTCTCCCTTTAAAGGCTGCTGTTTTACCTAAACTGAATTTTGAGAGAGCCATGTAGCAGAGGAATAGTAACAGTGGCTATTATTAGAAAGGGTTTTGCTGCTCGCATAATTTATTAAATTCTGCCTTCCAGAGGAGGTACTGACTGGCCTCTAAAGTTGTTTTAGCTAGCACTGACCATTCCTATGGTGCTATATGGAAACTGTTTGCTATGGCCTCAATTAATCCTCTTGTAAAGGGCTAAGCGGCTCCATTTTCTTTAATGCTTTTCCTTATCTCTTTTTTTTTTTTTTTGAGATAGAGTTTCGCTGTAGTTACCCAGACTGGAGTGCAATGGCACGATCTCGGCTCACTGCAACCTCCGCCTTCTGGGTTCAAGCAATTCTCCTGCCTCAGCCTCCCGAGTAGCTGGGACTACAGACGTGCACCACCATGCCCAGCTAATTTTTGTATTTTTAGTAGAGACGGGGTTTCACCTTGTTGACCAGGATGGTCTCGATCCCTTGACCTCGCGATCCACCCACCTCGGCCTCCCAAAGTGCTGGGATTATACCTGTGAGCCACTGCGCCCAGCCCCCTTACCTCTTTTTAAGTGTTTAAAGAAATGGGTTTGTATACCTGACTGTCTTGTTGAACATGTATTACCAGGCAGGACAGGAATTCCCCTTCTAATGCCTCTTGCCTAAGACAGGGTCCCATAGCTATAGTGTACCCTTGCCTTTTCCCCAATTTATTGAGGGAGGGGGCTCAGGGAGGAGGAGGCCATAACATAGGTGATGATTCCTCCTCCTTTCCCTTTTAGGCTCTTCTGTGTACAGCAGGGCCAAAGCAGCCCTAACTAAGGCCCCTAACATTGAAGATATTACTGGGACCCACTGCCCTTTTACATGTTATCATTTAAGATTTCTCCCCACTTGTTCCCAGAGCTCTAGGTCCAGCATGCCTTTTTCTGGGAACTATGAGTTATAGGGAACAACAACAGTTTGCATTAGCTCCCTTAATTGAGCCTGTGAAACAGGCTCCACTAGCTTTAAGCAATTGTTTCAATACTTTCATATACTGTTGTGCGGATAACTCTTGTCTCATGATAAACCCTAGCTTGAAAATTCCCCCAAACTTGGAAATCCCGAGCAGGACCAATGACTTACTGACTGTGCAGTCTCTTCACCTTCATTTTTGAGGGTTCCGACATGATCCGTTGCAGCATTCATCACATGGGGCGCCAGCTGCTGAGTCTGTCCTGCAGACTCTGGCCGAGCGACGAATGAAAGAAATACTCAGACACAGGCAGGCTGTGAAAGAGCACTAGGGGACTGTCAGCTTAGAGTTGCCAAAGAGAGAGCAGTCCCATAAGCCAGAGCCGCTGGTATTTACTCAGTACAGATTTAATGACAAAGGCCTGGAGCCAACACAATTTTGGGGTAATTAACATTGTTGTCCCCTCCTTCCAGGGAGCAGTCTTGCACGTGGATGATCTAAGGGTGATTTTCGGAGACATAAGCAAACGAACTTACCTTTATACTCCCTTGTTACCTACCCCTTGCCCTTAGCCTCAGGGTAAGAGAATTAGCTGCCTTCAGCTTTTATTCTCTCCTAAAGCTTTTGCAAAACCTTCCAACCTTTCAAGAAGATTTGCATTCTCTCCCTATAATTTCTCCCACCTCCCTGACCAATCTCCTACAGGTAACAAAATCACTGCTCATATGAAGGAAGAATCCCAGAGTTATTACATGGGATTTAGCTTGGCTTACGTTTTATAAAAGTTAAATAAGTATAACATCTAAATGGCAAAAATAAAAATCCAAGGTGGTCTCATTTAGAAAATTAAAAAAATAATTATTGTCCTTAGTTTTTAAATTTGTGGAATGACACAATACGTATTTTGAGGCACCTGTTACAGGATTTGTTAAAATTATGCATACTGCTACTTCTACTTTAAATATAATTTTTATGTACTCTAGGGTAGGTATTATCAGTCAAGACCACTAAAAATAATGCCAGAATTCAAGTGAGAGAGAATAGAAATGGAAAGAGGATGGGAGGATATTGAAATTAGGTAGTAAGTAATAACAAACATGATTTTTAAAGTTTCCTCACTAATAACACAGAGTTGTATATTTTGGCTCAATGCCACGGGGCTGCTGAAGTGAGCAGGAAATGAGTGGAATATCCTAATTGTCCCAGTTTAACTAACCGGTGATTTGGATGGGGGTTGTTTCCATAGACTGCTTAGTAAGGGGTAGCTGTGCTATGCTAACTGCCCACTCGCTTTGTTTCTTTCAAGAACACTTTTGACAAAACAAGAACCTCTAAAAAGCAGCAGAATGGAACAAAGAACTCATTAGAATACAGAGATTAACACAGGAATAATCTGCTAATAGTTTAATCATGGACATGTTACAATCACCTTGTTTCCTGAAATGCAAAGTATGGGCCAATAACAAAATTTTTTTTATAAATAAAATTCCACTATTCCAGGCATATTCCAAAATTTTCCTCTTTTGATCAAATTTTTTTTTTTTTTGGAGAAGTCCCAAACTTAAAATATCCCTCATCTTCCACCTCAAATTGCCTCTATTTATTAGTCTTGTATATGGTATTATTTAAAACATACATCAGTGAGAACACCAGGAGTTTCATGATTATTGTAATAAAAGACACTGAGTTCATTACTTGGAAAAATGGATTTTTTTCTGAGGTGTCTATTAGAGAATTAAGTGCTCTGTTTTATCACTGAATGAGAATTATTCTCAAAGCAAATATTCTCTAAGATACCAAAGTATTCAGTTTATTAGGATAGTACACTTTAACATATGACAAGTTACAAAGCCTAAGAAAAAGCAAGCAAGTAAATAAAATCACAACTCAGAATTCTAATATTTTCATGTGGTATCATGTGTTGGCAGGGCACAGTGGCTCATGCCTGTAATCTCAACACTTTGGGAGGCCAAGGCAGGCGGATCACTTGAGGCCAGGAATTAGAGACCACCAGCCTGACCAATATGGTGAAACCCTGTCTCTACAAAAAATACAAAAATTCTAATTAAAGATTTTAAGCAGAGTATTTTAGATTTTTACTTAATATTAAATTGTGGTCAACTATCATAATGTAATTCTCTGCATCACAAAAAATCCATGTATTAAGAATTTACACAATCCAGGAGAAAAAAATTTTAGAAACCTTTATTTTTTGCCTGAGCAAAAAAATCTAGAAAGGCTCTCCAAAATCTTGAGTGGAAGTATCATATTCTGCAATGAAATGCTTGAGTTCTTCAACACACCGCTCACCTATTTCATGTAAATTCTGCCTCAATGCAAACTGTATAGACTTTTCTAATGAAGGATCTTTTTCAATCAGCATTTTCACCACCATCCCGAAAGTTTCACAGTCTTGTCGGTAAACCTAAAAAGGTAAAGTACATTCTGGTTAGCTGAGAATGAAAATAATTAACCAAATACTTAGCTGACTGAGTTGGCAGAATTATGATGATGATGACATCTAAACCAGAGACACAGTATTACAGTCAAACCTCTCTCGCTCTTGCATTGTCACTATTGCCAGAGGCCATTTAAACCTCTATCTTTGAGATTTGCTGAAAAGTTGAATAGGAAGTGAAACACTAACATACCACATTACTGAATGTAGAAGTTTCGCATGGCATTTGTCTACTCAAAGGACATCAGACTAGAGATGAGAATAAGAACAAAGGCTGAAGAAGACATATCAATGACTGTTCATTGGAAGAAAAAAGTTTCTGAGCCCCTAACTTTAGATTTGTTTGTTTGAATCATGATCAGATAACAAATTCTGTTTAGTGGCTAGGTGCGGTGGTTCACACCTATAATATCAGCAATTTGGGACGTGGAGGTGGGTGGATCACCTGAGGTCAGGAGTTCAAGACCAGCCTGGCCAACATGGTGAAGCCTCGTCTCTGCTAAAAATACAAAAAATTGGCTGGGTGTGGTTGCACACATCTGTAATTCCAGCTCCTGGGGAAGTCGGTGACCTCTAGAAATTGGGAGAGGTAAGAGAACATATACTCCCCAGAGCCTCCAGAAGAAATGCAGTGCTGTAGACACCTTGATTTGGGTCCAGTAAGTCCTGTTTTCAACTCTTTATGTTATTCTAAGGTTCTCATTGGCTTATTAACCAAGTTAGACCACATTCTGGGCCATAAAACAAACCTTAAATTTGAAGTAATAGATATCGTAATAAAATCAACAACAGAAAGCTAGCTGAAAAATCTCAGAATATGTGGAGATTAAACAACACACTTCTAAATAACACAAAAAAACCACCGGAACAAATAAGTGATTATAGCAAGGTTACAGGATACAAGGATGCAGAATACAGGATTTTTTAATATACAAAAGTCAATTAATTCCTATGTACCAGTAATGAGCAAATGAAATTTGAAATTGAAATACAACAATATTTATATTAGCACTGAAAAGAAATCCTTAAGTATAAATCTAACAAAATAGCCGGGCGCGGTGGCTCAAGCCTGTAATCCCAGCACTTTGGGAGGCCGAGGCGAGTGGATCACAAGGTCAAGAGATCGAAACCAACCTGGTCAACATGGTGAAACCCCGTCTCTACTAAAAAATACAAAAAATTAGCTGGGCATGGTGGTGCGTGCCTATAATCCCAGCTACTCAGGAGGCTGAGGCAGGAGAATTGCCTGAACCCAGGAGGCGGAGGTTGCGGTGAGCCAAGATCGTGCCATTGCACTCCAGCCTGGGTAATAAGAGCGAAACTCTGTCTCAATTAAAAAATATATATATATAAATATGATTTATATAAGGAAAACTATAAAATACTAATGAAAGACAATGTAAATAAACAGAATGTAAATAAAATATAAACTACATAAATATATCAATATAAATCAATAAGTAACATATAAATAAGATTTAAATAGACAGATGCACCATATTGACAGGAAGAGTCAATACTGTTAAAATATACATGCTTCCTAACTTGACCTATAAAAATTTCAACAGTCTCAGTGAAAATCTCAGTAATTAATTTTGTGAATACTGACAAACTGATTTTAAAGTTCATATAAAAAAGTGGGAAACACATAATACTGAATATCATACGGAAGAAAAAAAGGAAAAAAATCAAAAGACTCACACTATCCAATTTCAAAACTTACTATAAAGGTGGCTCATGCCTGTAATCCCAGCACCTTGGGAGACTGAGGCAGGCAGATCACCTGAGGTCACGAGTTTGAGACCAGCCTGGCCAACACGGTGAAACCCTGTCTCCACTGAAAATGCAAAAATGACTAGGCATGGTGGCTCATGCCTGTAGTCCCAGATACTCCGGAGACTGAGGCAGAAGAATCACTTGAACATGGGAGGCGGGGGTTGCAGTGAGCCGAGATTATGCCACTTCACTCCAGTCTGGGCGTCAGAGTGAGACTTTGTCTCTAAACAAACAAAATGCCTTACTGGAAAGCTACAGTAATCAAGACTGTATGCCACTGGCAGAAGAACAGAAAGAAAGACCAAGGACCCGACAGTCCAGATACACACCCATACCAATAGAGTACACTGATCTTTAAAAACAGAGCAGAAGTAATTCAATGGAGAAAAGACAGTCTTCACCTTGACAGTTAAGTTCAAGACTTCACTGAACTTCAGCAAGATGAGCAGTGCTTGAACTGGATATCTGTACGCAAAATAAATAATCTAGACACAGATCTTATAACTTTCAAAAAGATGTTTAACTCAAAATGGATCCTAGGCCTAAATATAAATGCCAAGCTATAATATTTCTAGAAGACAGCAGAGGAAAAATCTAGATGATCCTGACTTTTAAATACAACATCAAAACAATCCGAGAAAAAATCTAATAAATTGGATTTCATTAAAATTTAAAAATTTGTGCTTTGTGAAAGACACTGGTAAGGGCATGAAAAAACAGGCTACAGACTGGGAGAAAATATTTGTAAAACACATATGGAATAAAAAACTGGTATCTAAAATATAGAAAGAACTTATAACACAAACTAAGAAACTAATCCAATTATAAAAAAGGCAAAAAATCTGAATGAGCACCTTGCCAAAGCAGACATTCAGGTGGCAAATGAACATAGGAAAAATATTCAACATCATTTATTATTAGGAAACTAAAAATTAAAACAATCATGAGTAGCGTGATACCACTATACACCTATTAGAATGCTTAAAATCCAAAACACTGACACCACCAATTTCTGTCAAAAAGGTAGAGCCCACAACTCTCCTTCGTTGTTGGTGGGAATGCAAAATGGTACAACCACTTTGGTAGACAGTCCAGCAATTTCTCACAAAGCAAAACATAGTCTTACCATACAATCCAGCAATCCCACTGCTAGGTATTTATCCAAATAAGTTGAAAACATGTCCACACAAAAACCTGCATACAAAGATTGGTTCTAAGTTTTACAGTGGAAGAGGCAGAGGTCATTGGGGCCATAATTATACTTCTCGTTATGGTACAAATTCTGAGCTAACCCCTCTGTAGCAGAATCTGAGTGTAAAGACAAGCTGGATGATTGGACATTGGCAGGAGAAGATGATCAAGACTGCCAACATCAGCATGACTGCAGGAGCCCTGGAGGAAGAGGCAGAAGTGTTTCAGGGGGTGTAGATCCTGGTGGCAAATCCCCCATCAGTTCTGTGCTCAAAGATCCAGACAGCAATCCATACTGCTTACTTGATAATACAGAATCAGATCAGATTGCAGACACTGATGCCAGCGAATCTCATCACAGTACTAACTGGTGAAGATGCTGTTCTGATGGATGGAATGACTGAATCTGATACAGCTTTAGTTAATGAAAATGGGCTAGGTAAAATAGGTGACTGAAGAGCATGATCCTTCAGAAAAGGCAATAAATGGCCCAACTAGTGCTTCTGGAGATGACATTTCTAAGCTATAGTGTACTCTAGGAGAAGATTAATACCTTAAAAGAAGAAAACACTGAAGAAGTAGCAGTCCTGAATGGTGTTTCATAAACTGAAGAAGCTCCTAGTTTACAGTTCCTTTACATTACATTTACAGTAGTGCTTGTACAAGCTTGCCAAAGATAGAATATGGATCGCCCATCTTTACATCCCACTTTCAGTTCCTCCATTTGGAATTCAAAAGGGGGAGGGATCCTGAAGAAATCATATCTTAAAGGTACTTTGACATCTACTATGTTATAAAATATATCATCAGATGTGCTTTGAGAATAGTATATGTACCATGAAAAAACAGTTGCTGGCTACAGGAAATGTTATTTTGTTTTCAAAGTATGGCGAGGTGGGGGATGGTGAGTGGGGTGGGATCCCTAAGGTAACATTCTTGATGAAAGCATTAGTTGCTTTTGTTACATTTTTAATATGCAACCACTTCTTCACCTGAGGAAAACCAAAATGAAATGCACTCTAAAATATTTTGCACTGAGTTGTAATTTCTTTATTAGTTTAGTCTGGAAATGGTCTGTTTCAATGTGTTTTTTAAATGCTGTATGTAGAGAAAATCTGCAGACCACTGGAATACATTTGTTAAACTTTTCTCTGCAGGAACACTGGGTGATGTTTGGCAGTGACTGTTCTGCCTTGAGGCTTTGTTTAGCTTATTTATTAAAGTGTACAGTATCTGAAAATCAAACGTAGCTTTTGTTAAAACACTAAGCTAAATTATTAGTCATGTCCATTCAGACATAACCTGAACTACTGAAAACATCAATTTCCAGGAATTTTATTCTGCATAAATTACATGTGAGTAGAGTATCTTTTTCTTCTTTTCATTTCGGTTGCTTGATGTGCAATATGTTTTTGTATGCAGGTAGCAAAAAAAATTTTTTGATCTTAAAAAAACAAAAAGAATATAGCATATGGGCCAGGCACAGTGGCTCATGCCCGTAATCCCAGCACTTTGTGAGGCCAAGTTAGGTGGATCATCTGAGGTCAGGAGTTTGAGACCAGCCTGGCCAACATGGTGAAACCCCATCTCTACTAAAAATATAAAAATTAGTTGGGCGTGGTGGTGGGCACTTGTAATCCCAGCCACTCAGGAGGCTGAGGCAGAAGAATTGGCTGAACCAGGCAGGCGGAGGTTGCAGTGAGCTGAGATCATACCACTGCACTCCAATCTGGGTACTCTGTCACAAAAACAAAAGAATACAGTATATGTAATATATATAACATACAAAATATGTGTTAATTGACTATTGGTAGGGCTTTCTTCAACAGCCGGTGATCCGTAGTTAAGTTCTGAGGCAGTCAAAAGTTATACTTAAATTTTCAACTGTTGGGAGCAAGGTGGGGACAGCATCACAAATCCCTAAGTTGTTCAAGTGTCAACTGTAGGGGTGGGGGCGGGGTGCAGCGGCGGGGAGAGCAGCTAAAATCGAAGACCTGTCA